AAAAAAACAACAAAGAAAAAAAAACCCTGGGTTTCTTTACACCCCATTTGAATTTACTGGAATCCCTGCTTTCACAAAGGTTTCTGTTTCACAAACTGTGTGCATTCAACATTCCCATAGAACAATCCAGAACTCCAGTTTTGCTTTTTAGCGAGAACACACATTTTCCCTGACTTCTTTTTTTGTTTGTTTTTGTTTTTTGTTTTTTGAACTTTACACAGCTGCCCTGCCCAGAGGTGGCGGTCAGCGTCGATACGGGTGGAAGCCCTGTACGTTGTGGTTCTGCCCTCTGCCGAATGCACTGGCGGCAGGCTGGGGGGCGGCGGCGGGCTGTGCTGTCGGGGCCCCGTACGAGGCCGTCGGCTGGCTGGGGTCTGCGAAGCTGTGGCCGAAGGCTGTCAGGTCCTGCCCGTACCCTGAGGAGGACAACAGACAGCACAGAGACAAGAGGATTTTAATGCCTTTAATGGGTCCCCAGATGGTGTTCAGGGAGAAACCTTACTGCTTTAAAAGTAAAAATGTTTACACAATTTTCATGTTGAGGAAAAATCCACCCTTTACCCTTTACACAGACTTTATACTCGTCTGTTATTTTTTATAACTGTTCTGCAGGAAGTTTTGGTACGTCACATCAAAATTATTATTATATTATTATCCAATTTTACCATTTTGTCCCAGCATCTACTTTATAAACAGCCCATGATTTTCTCCTGATAACCAGTAGATAAGTTTAACAGACTTTAAGGTTTTTACTTTCTTTAATTAGATAGATAGTTTTAAATATAATCTTTTTATTGTTTGTTTGTCTGGAAAGAAGATGTGTTTGTGATAAAGTACATAAATAAATTGTGACACACCAAGTAAGTAAATTAAATGTGCATTTCCTAATAGCATGTTTTAAAAGTTTAAAAGGTTTCGTGGTGGATTTTTCCTCTAGATTCAAACACTGTGTTCCTTCAATGAGCCATTTAGTGTTGGAAATTATTGCGTAACAATGTTAAAATGTATCAAGACCAAAAACGACAATTTCAGGTGAATTTAATAATCATTTAAAATGGGCTTCATTGAGGAAAACAATCTCTAGATTCTCTTGATCAGTGCAACACGCACAATGTTCCTCTATTCAGACACTGGGTGGCACCATCTCCCTGCAAACAGACACGGGAACCAAAGTGACACCCAGGGATGGAAACATATCTGCCCGAAAAAATGGCTGCTGCTGCCAAAAATCCAGCAGCCACTGACCATGAACTGAGTGGTTTGGTACCAAATGGCTGGTAGAATAAGAAAACCAGTTGCAGCCAAATCTTCCCAGCATTTTGCTGGTAAACATCCAGTTAGCACTGATTTTTTTGAAAATGTCACCAATAAATAACTGGAGTTGGGAACGTTATATATAAATAACTGGAAAATGGAAAGACGAGAGATAGAAAGACAGAAAGAAAGAAAAAAAAAGGGTGAAAAGTTAGAAAATACAACACATTTCTTTTGGGGTTCTCAAAGTGCTCCATGAACGGAACAAAAATAAGTCTGAAGAACAGGGAGCGGCCCCAACAGGACCGCCCAGCAGAAGAATCTGAGAGAAATTGAGAATTTACTGGCATCGTGTCCTTCTTTAAATCTTCTTTCCTTTCTCACCCCTTTAGCTATAATGTGGAGACAATACATGGGGAAAAAAACAACGAGTGAATGGACTGCTGATGCATAGAGACAACTGAACCATGAACACATTTTCTGACAATTAGATCATCCTTTTCATAATCAGCAAAGCAATGCGGACAGAGAGTGGACGAAAGAAAAAAAAAAAAAGGAGGACATGGTTAGCCTTGGTATAGTAAAGCTACAGCCGCTGAGGGAGAATACATGTTCAGAAGATCCAGATGTCAAATTTCAATGTAAATTTCATTCAAATCCACTCAGCTGTGAGAAAGTCAACGGCTGTCTTTTACCATATAAGGATACACACAGTAATTTGTATGTACATGCAAAATGTACATGCAAAATACGAAACACAAAGCAAAAAGAAAAGAGGAAAAGAACCAGGTTGCAGCTCTATAAACACTACAGTACTGAACAAATGCTACTTTTTGTGGTTGGAGAAGACAATGCTGGCACCTACCTGCACTATATCCTCCCTGCTCATCCTGACCATAACTGTGAGAAGGACGCGTTGGTCCGTAGGCAGAGGGGTCCTGAGGGTAGTTACCCAAGCCTATCAGGGAGATGAGGAGACCAGGTTGACTGAACCCAGATACTGCTGGCCGACTACTTTACATAGTTTCCCCCCTTACTGAGCTAACATAGCTGCACATTTACACTCATTTACTGCGTCTGCACTATGCTTGGAGAGGCATCACTGCTCAGCTTCATCTGGAAGTCAAAACAAAATGGAGTGAGAGTGTGTGAGCTATCCGCTAGCACACCTGACTTTTTTTTTTAAAATCATGCCAGCCTGGTCTCGTGATATTTTGTGAAATGTGCATGATATGCTACGATGCAAGTCACGTGAGGAAGAGGTTTTCCTACCAAGAACATATTATGAGAAGGAAGCAACCAAAAAACAGGAACTAGAACAACCACACCAGTGGTTTTGCATGTTTCATTCATAAATTCGACTCGTACATTCTTCACATTGTTGCCAAACATTTTCCAAAGAAGGCCATTAAGTTCCTACATTGATTTCCTGTCATCCAATTTGCTACTTGGTCTCCATAAATTTCAGCATGATGTGACATTGAACTTGAAAATGACTT